CATTCGTATCAAAAGTACTATGGTACTAAATGTGGTATTTGGTGAAGTGATAGGGCTGAAATCCTCAAATTTGACATTAAGGTATCTCTTGGTATTTGGGATTGAGGTATGAAAGTGGTTGTGGAAATGTGTACTACAAGTGTACGAAAAGTACTAAATTTGGTATGGGGTGAAGGAAGAAACATGAAGTCCTGAAATTTTGGTATAGATATCACATTTGGTGTCTGTGGTCATTGGAATTATGTACTAAATAGTACTATATTTTGTACAATTTGGTACTTAATGAACCGATAATGCTTGAAATCTACAATTTGGTATTGGGATCGCTGTAATATTTGGTCTAAAAGATATACAATACTTAAAATTGATATTTAGATTACTGCTAGTATCGATTTTTGAAATTTGGTGGTTATTTGTAAATGCATCCTACATTGGCTCGAAAAGTACTAAATGGTACTAAATTTCGTATTTGGTAAATGGATATGGCTGGAATCCTTAAATTTGATATGAGGTATCTGTTTGTGTGTGGAATTGAGATATAGAAGTGGTTGTACTAATGTGTACTATAATTGAACGAAAAGTGACAAATTGTACTAAATTTGGTACTAGTGAGGAATATAGCTATAATCCTGAAATTTGCTATAAAAAAGTACTAAATGTTACTAAATTTGGTATTGACTAAATACATAGAAACTGGAATCCCGAAATTTGATATTGAGGACACTGTTGATGTCTGGTGTTGATTTTTGGTGGTGGTTTTGTAAATGCGTGCTATAATCGTTCCAAAAGTAGTAAATGACACTAATTTTGAACCGCTGTTGGCGTCTAGGTTGAAGAGATTTAGGCTGTGTTGGATATGTGTACTAAATGTCACTAAATTTTGTATTGGTTTAAAGGATAAAGCTAAAGTTCTGAAATGTTTACAAATGGAGGTGTTGAAATAGTTTTGGACAGAAAAATTGAAAATGGGCCCATTGTGCAATGGTTTTACTAACATTATCCTCGGTAAATTTTGAAGACTTTGCTGTAAAATTTAAACATTTTTCTATTATTTCTACGAAAACAGAAAAGTTGAAAGACTTGAGAAAATCTAAAAGGCTTGAAGGTCTAAAAATTTTAGTACGATGTATTATGTTTCGATAAAAGAAAACTGTGAATCTGAACAAAAATGAGCATTTAAAATTTTAAAACGAAATTCTAGAACGAATCTAAACTTTTGAGGTGGACTCTTCGCTGATGAAGTAGCGGGCTCTTAGTAGTAAAATATAAAAATAGCAACCCTCCAAATTACATTATTAAATTTATTTATTATATTTAATAAATTCTACCTTATATTTTCCCTAGTTTCAAGGTTCCTCCCTTCGTTGAGCAAGACAAATGGTCATTTTACGTAATCCCCTCCCCCCCCCCCCCCCACACACTTACAATCCCAATTCCTTAAAAGGGAATAACAAATTTGTTCATATTCTTATCTAAATAATTAATAATCCTTACGATTGTGAACATTGTATCCTTCTATAATAAGTTAGACGTATGCAAGCAATTTTGGGTGGAAAATGTATTGCTGTAAGCCACAACAGCGCAACAAAGTTGCTTCTTTTGCAAACAAAGAATTTTGACGTTTATTCCGGTGCAGGTTTCTGTTTTGGATTCCACTTCAAAAACAAAAAAGAACAACAAGTCTATACACCAAGGGGGAAGTCTCAATATAATACCAAAGCATTGAAAAATTGCTTTGAGATGAACATCACACTCCGGCACAGCCACAGCTTGATTGCATTTAAAAAGATACAATATTTCTAAAACAAAGTTGCAGCAATATTCAGTTTTTGTTTCTTCTTTTTTTGGTTCGAAGGTACTGACTGTTTGGTGTCTTTGTCGAGAGGGCATTCAACACACACACACACACACCAATGCACTACAAAAAATGTTATGTCCGTACCAGAATTGAATTGAATTTTAAAAGCATTGAGTGAGTTATTCTTAGCCTGGTCACTCTTAGCTGTTATTATTACACCAACAAACTCCCCTCCATGTCAGGGCTTCTTCTGTTGCTCCTCTCATCGCTTGCTGTTGGTGGTGTTGCAGTCAAAGATTTATAATTAAATATGAACATTACCTACCTGCAAAAACAAAAAGCAAACCAAAACCAAGAAAAACAAAACGAAATCATGTACAACACGTAGAAGGAACAACACTGAATTAATTGCAACTTAATTCGTGCTTTGCCGCAAACGAATTTGTTGGCCAACAAATTTGATGGGGTTTGATGGTGAAGGTTTGTTGTGTCTCTTTTGACATCGAACTTTCAGTGTTTTGTTTTTGTTTCCTTTATTTTTGGAGGGTGAATAAATATTTTGCCACATAAAGATTTATGTTTTCTTTAGAACTTCTCAAATGTATGGCGTAACACTTTTTGTTATATAAGCGGGACAAGAATATAAATCATCTGAATATTCTTAAGAATTCAATAGAATTGTCTGGTGATTATGATTTATTTGATCATTCTTTAATAATATGTTATTAACATAATTTTTTGAGAACAAAACAAAATATTATCCTCATTTCTGCAGAAATATAAAATGTTGTTATTGTTCAGTAGAACATAAAGAGTAATATACTTGACATGTTTTTTTTTAAGAAAATCGACAATTTTCATGTACACAACCAAAAATAAAAGAACAAAAATCATACAGTCCAACAATAAGGGACCCTACACCACTATGCACATTTAATAGATCTGTCTGTAACAATTTAAAGTTTATTTTGGGAATTTGTACCAAGTAAGTCATCATTGAACCTTGTGAAACCTCTAAATCTAAATGTCATTGTAATAGAGTGTATGTTATGATCTTTTTAGGAGGCATACATATAAATCGGAATTTGATCGGAAATTGTCTGACTTTATTTTTTGGTGATATGATCCAAAATTGAACCTAATAAGACGAACGTATTTAACAAATGAAACATATATATTTTTTAAAAAATAGCTGTACTATTCCTACCCTTTTAGTATCATATTCAGGCCTGCTTAAAACTATATTAACTTTGAAATCTTTGTAATCTAAAATACACAATTATATGCGATCCATACAAAATAGGATATCAATATTGACTTTTTTTGACAGAGTGGAGTTATATCCTTCAAAAACCTGAATCGTCAGTTTGACTCGAAAAATGGAGGCTGTAATTGAAAATCTTTTGCTTGAAAAAAAATCCTATTAAACATACAGATCAGGTTGCAGCGCCACATAAATGTTTTGCTGGGCTTCAGATGATTTCTGATTATAGCAAATTTGAAATGTGTCAATCTCTTCCACAAGAAAAATTTCAATTGTTCCTATACTTCCCATATCTCCAAAGATGGTGAAAGTACGAAAAAATAGACACCTGACAGCTAGAATACAATATCGACGAATTCAAAGTAGTTCTTGAGTGATCGTTCATTTCTTTTTCGTCTTCCTGCTCCAGATACACGAAACAACACGAAACTTTTTATATATAAGTAAAAAAGCTGTAAGTTCAGCCGGGCCGAGTGGTGGCGGGTATCAAAAATTTGGCAATTTTCCAAAAAAAAAAAAAAATAATAATATCCGTTATAAAATACCGAATGTATCCGTTATATTAGGGTCTATAAGACGACGTGGACCGGTACAGGCAACTTTTGTCATAAGCCATTACAATATTCAAATGCGAAAATTGCAAACAAAAGGTGAATAATGTAGCTAAAATCATCAAAATACCGAATATAGTAAGGTACCATTATATCGGGGCTATACCAAAACAGGGACTTGCACAGACATTTTTCTGTCGTAGGCTGTAGTATCCATTAAGAACTTCAAATACCAAATTTGAAAAAATTCCGGTGAATAATGTCGCTAAAATCGTCAAAATACCGAATATCGGGATGTTCCGTCAAATTTGGGGCTAAACGAAGACGTGGACCTGTTCGGACAATGTTTTTTCTTAGGCTATGGTATCTAATACTCACTTCAAATAGCAAATTTGAAACAATTCCGGTGAATAACGTCGATAAAATCATCTATACGAAGACGTGAACCTGCAAATCCGATGAATAACGTAGCTAAATTTATCAAAATATCGAATATTGGGAGGTGCTGTTATATGGGGCTATACGATGGCGTGGACTTGCACCGACAATTTTCTGTCATACGCTGTCATACTTGAAACAATTCCGGTGAATAACGTCGCTAAAATCATCAAAATACCGAATATCGCGATGTTCCGTCATATGGGAGCTAAACGAAGACGTGGACCTGTTCGTACAATATTTTGTCTTAGGCTATGGTATCTAATACGAACTTCAAATAGCAAATTTGAAACAATTCCAGTGAATAACGTCGATAAAATCCTCAAAATATCCAATATCGGGAGGTGCCGTTATATGGGGGCAAGGTAAATTACAGCAAATGCAGACATGGAAAATCTAATTTGAAATGATATACCAAAATACCAAAAATAGGAAGGAACCATTATATGGGGTCTATACAAAAAGTGGACCTACATGGCTAATTTTTAATACCAAAAGTCCTGCAGACACAATATACATTTGAGTAAAATTTTATCAACCTACTTAATTACGTTCGTAAGCTAGAGTGATTTCCACAGACGGATAGACGGACGTACATCGCTAAATCAACATAGAATTTTATGCTGATCAAGAATATATATACTTTCGATTTACAACTGCACCTGGTGCATTTATTTAACTAATGGGGCTTGACGTATTCAAGTTATATATTTAAATTAAGAATTATATTTGTATACGTAATAGAAATTTCAGGAAGTATTCATCGGGAAAATGCTTTTTATTGAGATACTTTTCGATTGAAATGAATTGTAAATATGTAAACATATTTAAACTTACTCTATAAAAACACATGTTTTTGTTCATCGATGCGTGCAGTTTCATAAAGGAAAATATTTTTTAATTTAAAAGATAAATAAGAAATTGTACTTTGTCAATAAATCTGACTTACCCATGTCATCATGATTCGTATCTCGAGAATGAATGATGATAATATTTCACAGAAACTCACCTGCAAGAAACATTTTTTAACGATTACTAAATTTTAATTTACAACAAAACAAGTGCAAACATTTTACTCATACGAAAAAGCTATGCTTCCCAACTTCTTCATCAGTCATTGACCCTTTGCGCTTAGTCCCTTGCTCCTTGCTTTCCTCCTGTGTCCATCCAACTAATTACATTTTCATTGTCCATGCAATCAAACCATAAAAATGACAAATAATGGCTCAAAAGGGATGCAAAACAAAAGCAATTTAAGTGAAACAAGCCGCAAGGCTACTTCAAAGGCTACTTAAAAACATCAACAAAAACAACAGCCATAGCCATAGCCACAACAAGTGCTGCCACCACTACACCAGCAGTAGCAACTCCGACAAGAATAATTAAAATTTTGTTAAATTAATTTGAACATTTGCTCCCTTCTTTTATTTACGTTCGAAACCAACAAAACTAAGCAACAAAAGTGCCAAGTCCGGAGTTTCTTTGAGTGGAAGCCTTACATCGGAGACTTGCAGTTTGAGCCATCACCTCCTTATGCATGTGCTTGGGTTGGCAGTTGAAACACCTCTTAAAATCCAAAAGTAAAGTACAACAATTGCTATAGACTGACTGACTCGACATTGCTTTATTCATAATTGCCAGTCCCCCTTGTCAGCCGTTCGCCAGATAATCACATAAAATGTTGAAACGTTCATTTAATTTTTATTTTGTTCTTCCAAGTAACTTTAACAATTAAATAGTGTTTCAAAAGGTGTTTTTTATGAGGCTATCATCAAGCAGGACTATACAACGACACATACATAAGCTGGTCTACGAAACATTGAATTGGGGACGTCTTTAACGGTTGATTATATACAACTCACATTTTACCCGAATTTTTCCAACTTTCAGTTCTAATGGCGACCTTTTAACATAAAATATAGGTTTACTTTGGCACACATTTTTGCACTTCTTTAATTTTTTTAAAATAAATTGGACAAAATCTCTAAGCAAAACCTTCATATATCGTACTAAGTTTTAAGCTGCATCAGTTCGATAAAACCTCCTTCATATTTAAGTTTTTCTTTATCGAAAAGTGTATCTTTCTTTGGTTGTTAAGTTTTCTGAAGAACATATTAGTTAAACCATGACACTATGGTCCCACATCCAATTTTTCTGGCCCAAAATTATTTAATGTTTTTATAATAAAAATTGGCCACCATCATATCTAAATCCTTGAAACCTACAGAGGCCTAAATATCAAATTTCAGGATTAAATCCATCCAAATCCACCTCATTCTCTCAAAACTATATACCAACAGTAGCCTCCAGACACCAACAGAGACTTCGATACCAAATTTCGGAATTTCATCTCTGGCATTTTGCACTTCCGTATATTCTTAGTACGCATTTCCAAAACCAACTCCTTCTCTCGACTACAGAAGTAAACAGTGACATCCATATCAAATTTCAGAATTTCAGTTCTATGCCTTCAATATTACCAAATTTAATAGCATTTAGTTCTTTTCGTACAGTTAAAGTACGCATTTTAAGACTAATCTGATAATCCTCAGGTACCTACATTGACCTCAGTGTCAAATTTCAACATTTTTGCTCTTTAAATTCCCCATTACTAAATTTAGTACTTTTCGAACAATTATATTACACATTTCCAAAACCACCTCCATACCTTAACCATATGACACCAAAAGTGGCATCTATATCAAATTTCAGGATTTTAGCCCTATTCTATTCTATTTAGCCCTATCTCTATGGTATTGGGTGAATACCAAATTTAGTACTTTCCGTACAATTTCCACACATTTCAAAAATATCCCACACCTCAATTCCAAATACCAAAAGAGGCTTCAATACCTAATGTAGTTCTATTTAGTACTCTTCGTAAACTCAAAGTACATATTTCCAAGTAAATTAGTCTAATCTCAAACACAAACACCATTAGGGATCTATATATCAAATTTCATAATTGTACCTTTATTCCTTCACTCAATATCAAATATAGTACCATTCGGTACTTTTCGTACAATTATTGTACACATTACCGAAATCACCTCCATAAGTCCGGGCTGCACATAAACAGCGATCCTATGATTCAAGGACTATATGTTCACCCAATAGTAAATTGTATCAAATATAGTACCATTCAGTACCTTTCGAACAATTATAGTACAGATTTCCAAAATCACATCTTTATCACAAATCGACCTTGAACGGAGACCTCAATACAATATTTCAAAATTCTAGCTTCATCCGTTCCCCTAAAACAAACTGTTCCCAATTTAGTAACATCTAATACAGTTCGCACACTCAGTACACATTTCTAAAACCACATTCATATACAGGGTGAGATAAAAAATCTGCAAAAAAAGTCAAACGCCATAATTTTTACATTTTTTTTAAAATTTTTTTGAGTGAAAACAAAAAATGTCGGAAACAGCATAAAATTTTAGAATAAGTTTCTATTTGTTAGAATTGGTCATCTTTGGCACGAAGTATGGCCCTTAAACGGCCAATAAAACCGTCACACGCTGCCCGAATGTTGCTCTGCGGTATTTTGGCAGATTCCCGGCTAAGCGCTTGCTTGGGGTGATCGACACTTTGGTATTTTTTAGTACCAACCTTGCTTTCCAAAATACTCCAGACACAATTGTCCAACGGATTGGTATCCAGAGATTTTGGTGGCCATTGTATGCTGAAATGAAGTGAGGCACCTCATTTTGTAACCATTCTTGGGTGGCACGTGCTGAGTGCGATGGTGCTGAGTCTTGTTGGAATGTCCAAAGCCTGCGTCCAAAATGTTTGCGTGTCCAAGGCTTTAATACACACTCCAGAATATTTTCGCGATAATATTCGACATTTATTCTGATGCCACGGTCGATTGATACGAGCGGAGAGCGACCATCGGCTATTATGGCGGCCCACACTGTCACCATTGCCGGCGCTTGAGTTCTGGTGACCAACCGAAGGTGCACATTTTCAGCTGACATCTCTGGCAAGTAAATACGATCATTTTGTTTGTTTCCAAACTGCTGGACAACGAATGTTTTCTCATCGGAGAATACCAAATTCGGCAGTTCACTACTTTTGGTCAAGCGAAGCAACTCTTTAGCTCTTTTGAGTCTATTTTCTTTTTGTTGTGGTGTAAGTTCTTGCACTTTTTGGAATTTCAATGTCTTAACCCCAAGCTCATTTTTCAATATTTGCCGAATGGAATATTGCGATGTGTTGAGCTCACGCGCCATTTTTCGATCAAGTCGCTTCTTTACTCTTCGAACCATTTCTGCTGATGTTGCTTTTTTCTTCCGTTTACTTCTTTGATTTATTCACATTCAAATGCTGGAGTGCTCTAATTATAGCCACTTGTGGTTTTCCAGCCAAATATAAAGAAATCACGCTATCATGCTTAAATTCCATCACGAATAACTTTTTTTCTGGAAAATTGTCACCAAAATGCTTTGGTACGCTTGTAAACAATATAATGAGCTGTCACTGGAATATCTTTAACAGCTTCCGGACGAGTGGCTTATAAATGACAGCAGTCTGAAGTTGGTTGCATCTCACCCTGTATTACTTTCCAACATTGTTTCTCATGCCAAATTTCATGTTTTGCTCAATCAGTTCACATTATACCAAATGGTAACGTTTGAGAATTATGGTTCTATTTTAGAACTTTTCGTAACTGAAATGTTCGAATTTTCACAAACCCTTTGGTATGTTTATCCTGCACTCCAAATTTTTAGCACATTTTAGTACTTTTCATATCCATTAAGTACGAATTTGCAAAAACCCAGCCTTATTACACGTCTACCCATCAAGACTGATCCTCGTGCAAACATTCAAGATTCTAGTGCCAGCCGTGATTCTAGATTAGTCAATCAGTTATTTCACTACGCTCTCGTTTACAGATATGGATGTATATGTCTATATTTCGAAATTAGACTAAATCCCATAATAGTCGGTTTTCACACGAAAAAAAATGCATTTATTATATTTACCAGGGAAAGAGCAGAAATATCCATGATTTCGAAACAAAATTACCAAAAAAAAAAACTTTCATAAAGATATATTTTCCTATCAATTGTTCTTTCACAGTGCAAAGCCGCCCACTACAGTACTATCTGTACTATCTATGTTAGAAGTTTCAACCTGGGCTATTGTCCAGTCTTTCAAACTAATATATATTTTCTAGTTTCACTTTCTTCGGCATTTCCCTTTATCGTACAAATGCTCACTCTCTTTTACGTGCTACACGTCATCACTTGTTAGTGGCAACAAATGTTTAAAGTCACCTAGGTTGTCTGCTCAACTTTTGCTGTCGTTTATTTTAACAACAAAATGCTGTAAACTCTAGCTTCTTGTTCTTGGAGATAGCAGTGGCTAGTGGAATATGTTTAGCTCTTTGTATAATCATTAAATTTCCAACTTTATATCGCTAATTTATGCACACATAAAATGTACAGCAGCGACTACGTTTTGCTGGGAGCCCTTTTAAATAACATTAATAACAATATTCTACTTAATTTATGGAAAAATATATTTTATCTATTTAAGGTGTAAGTCTAAACCATGCAATTGTTTTCTAAGTGGCATAAATTTATTTTTTTATAAAAAAAAACCAAGAATACGTTCAAAGCAAAAGTATGGCCAAAAACTGGTCAATATACCTCTCTGCTGGTTTATCGGTTTAACCGACCAAAGTCGGATCGATTGGAAAATTCAGCAGAAATTCTTTCCGCTTACGTACGTGAAGATAAAACATAAATATGCATTTGGAAGGAATTTTGGTATAAAAAATCGATATCACTCGATTTCTTTTTTTATAGTGGTAGTTGCATTCTCTCGAATTTGAGGAGTTTCCCCCCCTGCCGACTGTTTTTTTTTAGTTTTGGTCATACCATTGTTGTATTTGTATGTACAGGATGAGACGAAAAACCAGCAACCAACTTCAGACTGCTATCATTTCAAAGCCACTCGTCCGACAGCTGTTAAAATTATTCCAGTGACAACTCA